CGGCCCACCGAGCGCGCAGGAGCGGGAATGGCCTAGCAGGCGCGCCATGCCCTTTGAGCTTAGATGCTCGCGAAGCACGGGAAGCCCCGCTCTTCGCGGCCCGCGCGCTCGGTGGGCCGTACCTTCGACAATAGTAAGTCGAGTGAACGCGCGTATTCGGCTATCTTTAAACGTTAATATCTCGTTAATTATTGCGAGCATTACAAAATGGTACAGGACTTTTCTACTCAATTTAATCCACTCTATCTGTTCGGGACGAGTGGGGCCATATATTCATGCCACTCTGTATATATATTCAGATTAAATTATTTAAGCGGTAAAGACCTAGCTTTGACCGCTACGGCTTTTATTTTTATTTCTTATTGTTGAGTTTTCAAATGTATTAGGTGTTGGAATTAATTCGTAGCGTTTTACAAGTGATGGGAAGTACTTTCATTAATGTATTTTTTAATGCTCATGTGAAATAAATAACATTCTTTCATTAAAAAACGCTACGAATTAATTCCAACAACTAATATAATTCAAATAGTAAAATTCTTATTATCAATATTACTTCCACCATGCTTGATAATGCCAATACATATAATTAAATTCATAGCTAATACCGAGCTTATCTCTATGTGTCTATGTTCTTTTTGCCTCTTAGATCTATATATGTAACATAATGCACTATGTATCATCAAGCGCGTAAAATTACAATGTTCTATCAATAAATAAAAGTATGTGCTTTTAAAAGATGTATTTGATCGTCATATATTGAAGAGATAAGGGCTAGAGGTTATTCACCGATATGATCTGATTTATCCAGCCGATGTACGAAGAGACTTTTACGTACACACCCGGTACATTTTGACGACCGCAACCGAATCCCCAAGACACCAGTCCGGCCAGCTCATAAAAACCATCATCTTGACATACCAGAGGACCTCCACCATCGCCCTGAACATCGAAAAACATAATTAATTAGTTTCACGTTTGATGAAACATTTGCAACGAAAAATTTTACACAGTGTATTATGATTATGTGTTATAATTATAACCTGACATGGCATTAAATAGAAATGATATTTTCCAAATGTATAAAGTTAGCCTTCCTTTTTTCGAAAATTACAACTTTAATAACTGTCCCAGATATTGATCTCAATTTGTTTTACAATGTTGCAAAGCGATATTACCTTATTCCGAACGATTCTCCAACAAAAAACGATTTTTTTTGCTACGCCCCTTTTTTTTAAAAATCAAATAATTTCTGCTCGCTACAGATTATTCTAGTTATTCCAAATATTGTTCCAAAAGGACAATTTTGTAAGTCGAACGGAAATTACAGAAAATGAAAAAAAAAACATTTTGCAACAAACGGACCCTCGGGCCAAAAATAAACGTATTATCTCCTTCTTGTTCCGATAAAGAATTTTATATTTTTAGTTGTTCTAGTCCTACACATAATTCTGCAGTATGAATCTCGCTACCGGTTTTTCCAAAAATCGAAAAAAAAAATTGTATTTCTTGCAACTATCATCAAGAGTAAATGTACGCTTCTTTTCGTGTTCCAATTGAGAACTTTTTGCGGTGAGTTATTTTAGTCTACAAAACATAGTTTTGTGGTATGAATCTCGTATTGCTATCGGTTCTTTCAAAAATCGAAAAAAATGTATTTTTGGCATTTTTGAATTTTCAAAAAACGAATAGTGATGCGAGATTCGTAATGCAAAATTATGTTTCGTAGGGCTAGAACTACTCAGAACAAAAAGTTCTCCATTGAAACACGACGTAGGGCTAGAACTACTCAGAACAAAAATTCTCAATTGGAACATGAAAGAAAGCGTATTTACTCTTGATGGTACTCGCAAATACATTTTTTCGATTTTTGAAAAAACCGATAGCGATTCAAGATTTATACTGTAGAACTATTTCGTAGGTTAGAACAACTAAACATATAAAATTCTGCATTTGAACAAAAAGGAAATGTTTACTTTTGATTCGAGGGTCCGTTTGTCGAAAAATGTTTCTTTTTTGTTCCGCGATTCTATTCAATATACGGAATTGTTCTTTTGGAACAATGTTTGGAAAAACTAGAACAATCAATAGCGGTAATGAATTGTTTAACTTTCAAAACAGGGGGGGGGGGCTATCAAGAAGAATTAATTTTTTCATTTTATTGGAGAACGTTCGCAATAAGATAATCGTCTTGGAATAATAAAACAAATTGAGAACAATCTGGAACAGTTATCAAAATGTAATAATAAATATATAAATAATTTTCAAAAAAAGGAGGGCTAATTTCATTCATATTTTCCTCAATATCACAGAAAAGTGATACCTGACACGCGTCATTTCCCTGTTCGCCACCGGCGCAGAAACTACTTGCTGGTAAAATAAAGATCTTCTCGGTCACGGCGTTCACTTTCCTTATGCATTCGGCATCGCTGACGATCGGTATTTCCGCTTCACGTACTCGAAGAGGTATAGGACCGGCTGTAAAATATTGCCGCATGTTGTTGCGTAAGCAATAATAATTTACACACCACGATGTTTATTCTTTAAAGAAAAAAATACGCAATATCAAATGATATATGAAGAACTTACCTTCTCCCATGTATCCATAACCAGTAACTGTACATCTTTTTCCAGCTGTGTGACTAACACCCCGCGCGGGCAAACAAACTAGACAAACTCCGTCTTTCAGTTCTGCTTGACCATGAAGCTTTAGTAAAGCGATATCATTATCGAGCGTCTGGCTATTGTGATTGTGGTGGATATATGTCGTTGCGACACGTAAGGTTTGAGCACCGGGGCTTCCGTATTTACGAGTGAGATCATGATCACCCACCCTTACATAGATTGCGTCGCCGGTCCTTACGATGCTGGAAACGAGTGCTTTTTCCTACTTTTTCAGTTTTCAGATTTATTCCGCGCGTATGCGGAAGACAAATGACATTTACTTACTTTGTGACACAATGCGCCGCAGTAAGAACCCATTGCGTTCCTATCAGCGCGCCTCCACACAGATATTGATTGAGAGAGTTTATCAATGCGACCTGCCAACACCATTCGTTGGCATCTGCATCTTCACCACCTACAACGCGCGCGATTCTTTCGGAATTTCGTGCCTGGATTGGACCGCGTGAGGTCCCCTTTACGCCACAAACATATTTACTGTATACCGGACTTCTAGTAGTAGTGGTAATCGTCGTCGTTTCATCTAGAAAATTAACGATCTTTTAACATACACAGATACACATTTAACCGACTTTAACTTAAATTTGAATTAGCTTTTAACTTGAACTTACAATTAGCTAATTTTAACTTGCATTTGAATTAGTCTTTAATTTATACTTGATTTAGGCTTTGGATTGAATTTCAATTTGTTTTTAGCTTACATTTGAATTAATCGACTTTAATTCAGCTTGAATCAGCCTGTATCTTGAATTTAAATCGATTTTTAACTTGAATTTGATGAATCATTCTGTAACTTAAATTTAACCGACGATTTTCGCAATTTCCAGTAGTTTTATGATTTCACAAAGTAATGATAGATTTTTTAATTCTTAGATATTTACACAACGTGGTGAGTGGGGTGGTATAAGGTCGCGAAGTAACATGAAATGTATCGTTCCTGTTGGTTAGAATCGGCTCCGTAGAATTTTCATCGTGGAATTCTCTTATCAGAGATTTCGGTGCACAACACTGGTGTCCCTGTTTCTTGCACTTGAACAAATTCGTCAGCTCAGCATTTCCTACGCATGTATGAATAAACATGAGACACTATTCACGTGAGATGCGCATTCTTCGCGCGTACTTACTGAAACAGGTAAATGACAAGTAAGATACAATGCAGGAACCGGGACAATCCGGACGTGGGTCCGGTGGTAATGATATCGTTGTCGGCGGTCGTGGAGTAGGTCTCGGTCTTGGTTTCGGAGTCTGAAACTCGCAAGAAAATTACAAAGATTACTAAAAAAAAATTATAAATGAATAAACTGCATTTTGTTGTTTGCATATTACATTATTTTCGCGTAGAATTTTTTTCTATATTTACAAATTGATCAACTCGGATAAAAAAACTGATTGTGAATCGTAAGTTAATTACCTGTGACGAGCTTTTTGTATTATCGCAGCAGATGTAACTGGATTGACAAGTTGACGTTTTCGTTATGATTACATTCGGTCGCTCACAGAAGGCTGCCATAAGAGTTAATAGGCAAAAACCAGGGCACGTTGGTAGCTTTAGTTGAGGAGCTTTCGTGGAGGGCTGAATTGTTGTTGCCGTTTCCTTCCAAAAGAAATGATATACTTACTTATACTGCTGTGAACAACTTTAGGCTACTCTCTAAATTTCACTAAGAGTGGCCATATTTTCACTCTTTTTTCAAGACTGGCTCAATTTTCAGTTCGAATGAAATTTCACTCTACGAAATTTAGAAAGTAATCTTAGCAAATATAATACCGCTTAATGATCTCCTAAATAGCTTTGAGATAATCTTTTCAGAGTAAATTAACGCATTCATGAATGACAATATAGCTTTCGTTAAAGTACTATCAAATGTTAAATCTCATTACCGCTTTTTGTGGTTCACTGATACAGCAAACCGTCAATACGGAATCATCGGGAGGACAATCTGCATATGCGTCAACATTCTCGCAGAAAAGAGCGGATAAACCACTCATGCATCTTCCTTTACATGGCTTGAATGGTACTGGCTTAGGTCTTGTTGTTGTCGCTGCTGTCGATGGCTGTCTAGTAGCAGTTAACGTTGTTATCATCGTCGTCATTGTCGTCGCAGTTGCAGAAACGCTCGTCGATAATGATGTGTTTGGTCGCATTGTCGTCAACAAGGATGAGGTCTTGCTGTCACTTGCGCTGTTCTTCTCGTCGATACGAGAAGAGTTCAGGCGATCGATTACCAACAGCTCAGGTGGTGGAGACTCTCCAAAGGCATCTCTGGATACGCAGCACTTGTAGCCAGGCTTGCATAGAGTGTCTATTACCAGCACGGCATCACAATAATCGGCGATTCTTTCGGCCATGCAAATGCCCAAACAAGCTTTAACTAAAAATCATATAATCGTTTCAATTCGCTAATAGTATACAATGTAGACCAAGAGGCCACTATAGTGATTTTGTTACTCATAGCGACAAGTATGGGAAGTGTGGATAATCTTTTATTTCATGTAAAACATAAAAACTATATACATATTTAAACTCGATCGCGGTCGCTTGAAGAAGAAGTGGGCTTTCCAAAATGTTGCAAATTTTTATTGAAAGCGCCAAGGTTGAATGTTGTAATCGATAGTTCTCATCACTTCCCATACTTGTTACTATGGGTAACAAAATCACTACAGTGGTTTCTTGGTCTAATGTACTTCTTTGCTGATTTTCTGAAAATGCTAATCTTAATGATACCAGAATATTTTCTGTAAATATAAATAATAGGATAAACAACTATTTATACTTTTTATTTAGACAGTCATTATATAAAGTTATATATCATAAGTTTTTCTTTAATTATTGACTTTAATTCCTATAATTACTGAGTTTAAATGTTGTATTATATAATAAATTAATTTATAGAGTTTTTCGAACATTTCAATTGATAAAGGAGGATGTTAAAAAAAGTATCGGTTTTGATTCCTAAGGTAAATCTGAACAGACCTTGGAAAATCATTGTTTGGGTCTTTAGAAAACAGGAAATAACAATTGTTTTTCCGGGAAATAGTGAGAAGATTGTTAAGATAGGTTAAATATAGTAAAAAATGACATTATCAGGAGACGCGGTTTCCATCAAGTATATTTTTAAAACAATAAGATAGGAAACAAGACCGTTTATATTAAATAACATTACAATCCGAAGCGCCACTACGGTCTAAGAATTAAGATGTTGAACTAATATATATATTATTCAAACGAATGAATTAATTTCAGAAATAATAATTACGTGTCGATATGGTTGTCGACATTAACGCAATTAATCTGAAATGTAATAATCCCCTCAAAATTCCCAAATTAATCTTAAAAAACTGTAATAAACTTATTGCGAAAAAATATTGCCTCGGCCGGGAGTCGAACCCGGAAATTTATTACGTTAAAAACATCTTTTTTATATTATTATGAAGGGATAATATTATACCATGTCATGGAAAATATTGTACAGCGCGCATCCTTTACAGGAAGGAGAACGCCTAAAAATTAACGAAATTAAAAATTACCTCGGCAGCCTAAAGGCTTAGGACGGAATGTAAGAGATCCGAGTTCAACTCCCGACTGTGATAATATTTTTCGCAATAAATTTATTTAGAGTTTTTCAGCAACATCTTTTTTAACATCTTTCTAATATGATGCCTGATTGAGCATTGAATTATTAAAAATTGCTTGTCAATTTAATTTAATTTATGATATTATTACAGTAATTTAATTGCGTTTATTATTAGTCTGGAAAACTAATTCGACGCGCAGTTCAAATGACAACAAATATGATATATAAGCATGTATACGCACCGGTAAGAATGGTGTTCTCTCTGGCATTCGGTGCGCGGCATTACATTATATTATATTTTTTTTATTTATTTTATTAAATGTTTTTATATTTAACTGTAAATTTAATTTTACAATCTTGCGATAAAATATGAATTTCATTTGCACACTGCAAATTTAGAAATGCATGCAAAGCTATTACAATGAGTCTCAAAATTACACATAATATTGTAATTATGCATAAAAATTTTTTACAATATTAAAAATTTTTATGCACAATTACAACATTTTGTGCATAATAAAAGTATTATTATAAATATTGGCGAGCGAGAAATACCATCTCACTCGTACTATTATAGTAATAAATGTGTGAGACAGCGAAAGGACACCGCGAGCCAGCATCACATCCAATTACGCTTTCTTTCTCAATCGTGCATCTTGTGCTAAGGATATCGGAGCTCCTTACTATTTTCTTCCTTCGCGCTCTTCGCCTCCTCCGCGTTTTCAGTAACACGTATATGTACGCTTCGGTACGAGTGTGTAGCATCGCGCGCCGAATACCAGAGGATACCATTCCTGTACGGTGCGTGTACATATATAGTGTATGTATATACAAATATATATATATAATTCACATTGAATTATTTAAACATTAAAGATCCAGCTTCATCCGTTATAGGCATTTAATTTCTAGTTTATCGATTGTGTTCTCATATATACAATCTTAAATAAGATTCTTATTGTTGTCTTGTTTAATTAAAAATTACACAGGTCCACAAAAAAAGTATTCTGTGCTAAGGTGAAGATCCAGCTATTCTTATGTATTTTGAGTAGTAGAATACGAATCTGATATCAAAATAGGACCATTTAGAGTAAATTTTCAATCTAGAGCAAAAAAATGATTCACTTTTTTCCATTTTTGACACATTTTTTCGCTCTAGATTGAAAATTTTCTCTGAGTGGTCTTATTTTGATATCAGATTCGTATTCAGTGACTCAAAATACATAGAAATAGCTGAGTCTCCATTCCAACACAAGGTACTTTTTTTGTGGGCCTGTGTTATTATTCTCCGCTGTGCATGTGTGCATACTTAAATATATATGTATTAGTATACACGATCTCAGTATATGTATAATAGATTTAGTAACGCGCAATTTCTACAACAAAGATATTACGACAGAACATTTTAATTACTGGAGCAAAAAGAAAAAGTAATAAGCATGAAAACGATTGGAATTATTATTAGTAAATTGTTGGATCAATTATCTTATTTTGTGTATCATAATCAAATGTAGAAGGAGCGAGGTAAAGCTATCAATAATAGCAGGTTTTTAATCAACGTCATTTTTTATTATATTTAAGCTATTTTTAGCAATGTTCGACCACTTTCCGGACAAACAATTGTTATTTACTGTTTTCTGAGGATCTAAACGATAATTTTTCAAGGTTTACAAGTGTACCTTGGGGGCCAAAATCGACACTTTTTATCTTCTTTTGTAATTTTTATAAGTGAAATAAAGTGAAAATAAAAAAATGATCTGAAATGCTGGATAATTGTTCACTATAAGGAACTCAGCCCCGATGACCTTGACATATATTGTATGATTCTGAATGACCTCCAAAAGGTTTGAGTCGTCGGATGTTATTCGTTAATAAATTATTGAGTTGGAGGAAAAGTTCTGCGGATGTTTAGTAAAATTAGAAAAAAATCGGCATTTATAACAATTTATTTAATCAACAATATATTGACTATCTACAATTTGTTGCCAATACTTCGGTAGGGCCTTGATACCACTCTTGTAAAACTCTTGAGACTTGTGGGTGAAAAAAATCAACGAAGTGATTTCGAACCGTCTCCATTGAGTTGAACTGTTGACTGTCAAGACTGTTTTATAGCGAGCGAAGTAAATAATAATTAGACAGTGCAAGGCGAATATAAGTGGGTGAAGTTAGTTCCCTTTTATTCGAAGATTACAATTTGTTCTACAATGTTCCAAAGCAATATTATCTTATTCCGAACGGTTCTCCAATAAAACGAAAAAAATGTTTGTTTGCTAGTTCCTTTTTTGAAAAATCAAACAATTCTTGCTCGCTACAGATTATTCTAGTTGTTCCAAACATTGTTCCAGAAGGATAATTCTATATGTTGAACGGAAATCGCAGAAAACAAAAAAACAATTTTTTTTCCGTCCTCCCTTTTATAATATTCAAATAATTCATTGTATATAGATTGTTCTAGTTGTATAGATTGTTACAAACATTGTTCTTCAAGGACAATTTCGTAAGACAATGGAATCGCGAAAAAAAAACATTTTTCAATAAATGGACTAAAAGTATCTCGGACCAAAAATAAACGTACCATCTCTTTCTTGTTCCAATGCAGAATTTTATATTTTAGTTGTTCTAGTCCTACGAAATACAGTTCTACATTATGAAACCCATATCGCTACGGTTGTTTCAAAAATCGACAAAAAAATGTATTTTTTACAGGTACTATCAAAAGTAAATGTATGCTTTTTTTCGTGTTCCAATTGAGAACTTTTGTTCTGAGTTGTTCTAGCCTCAGGAAACATAGTTTTGCATTATAAATCTTACATCATTATTGGTTTTCTAAAAATTCAAAAATGTAAAAAATACATTTTTTTAAATATATATATTATTCAAACGAATGAATTAACTTCAGAAATAATAATTACGTGTCGATATGGTTGTCGACATTAACGCAATTAATCTGAAATGTAATAACCCCCCCAAAATTCCCCCAAATTAATCTTAAAAAACTGTAATAAACTTATTGCGAAAAAATATTGCCTCGGCCGGGAGTCGAACCCGGATCTCTTGCATTCCGTGCGAGCGTCCTGAGCCTTTAGACTACCGAGACCTTAGCAATAATTTAACATTTTTTTTAATTTTTGATAGAACCGATAGCGATACGAGATTCAAACTGCAGTTTGCTGTGTTTCGTAGGATTAGAATAATTTAGAACTAAAAGTTCTCAATAGGAATATTAAAAAAAAGCGTACGTTTACTCTTGATGATAGCAGAAAAAATACATTTTTTTTTCGAATTTTTAAAGAACCGATAAGGATACAATATTTATGCTGTAGAATTGTATTTCGTAGAGCTACAACAACTAAAAATATAAACTTTTGCATTTTTGGAACAGGAAAAAGATACGTTTACTTTTGGTCCGTTTGTTGTAAAACGTTTTGTTTTCTGCGATTTTTGTTTAACTTATAAAATTGTTCTTTTGGAACAATATTTGGAACAAGTAGAACAATCTATAGCAATAATAAATTGTTTGAGTATTATACTAGGTGGGGTGAAAAGTAACCTCCTTGGGAATGAAAAAAATTTTTTTCTTATGCAGAATCTCGCCCAAAATATGGCGTGTTCGCTCAGTACTAATCTTTGTAGCATCTGCTAGCTCGCGCACCTTCACTTTCCGGTCAGCCAACACCATTTCATGTATTTTTTTGACATTTTCCTCGGTAACCGCATCGGAGGGCCTGCCGCTGCGGACTTCATCATGAGTGGAGTTGCGGCCACCACGAAACTCTCGAAACCAATATTTGACG